CCAGGTTGCTCTTTCATGTAGTGAACTGTCTCCTGAATTTATGTTCAGCTTCATTTCCATTTCTCCACTTTTTTATGACCTCCAACAACAATTGCGATGTGGAAGCTCAAGAACCTATACACTTCATATCTGATTGGGAGGCTCAAGCTTTATGACTTGCAATTAAACCGCACAAATTGTTTTTGTAATATCATTGAGGTGAGTTGGTATTTGGAATTTTTAGCTCGGGACACTTTTTTATTCAGATTTCAATTACGCTCTGTCTTGAATAGTTCTTGACTAAGTGATGCTTTGATATGATGAAGCGATGCAAGTATTGAGCCAATTAGATATGTAACTTAAACAAAGAGAGCTTCGTTACTTTTATTTTTTTTACACCTTTATATTTGTTATATGTTTGCATGTAACATTTTAAGTAACAAGATGTGATGGTATGTATAGTAAAACTTTATTTTCTCTAGTTTCACACACAACTGCATCATCAAGCATTCAAAAGCTACATGAATATTATGTTTTTTATATATAACAACACAAATCCTGTAAGAGGAGACTTATTAAATAAAGCCAACAGATAAAATCTTGCAGCACACAAACTAATAGAATAGCAGGAACATCTATACGATACAAATCCAAAGTAGGATACTAACACATCACGTAATTAAGCATCACTAGTTTTACCTTCACTAAACAAGAGATAGTTTGAAGCTTTGAAATTCAAAAGAAGTAACCAACCAGAAGCGTTACGGGAATGAACAAGTATGAAGATTTGATAGAGTTGGTGTTTGTGCTATTCTTCCCTTTGTGATCTTTAACGTTATTAGCTCCACCATTTGTCTTCGCTTTCTGTGACACCTTCGTGTGTTCGACAGCGTGCAATGCTTGATTTGTTCTTTCACTTCTTTTGGCGTCTAATTTTCCTGATTCCATGATCAAACCGTACATGGCTGCATGCCTCAAAAAATGATGTTAACATATATTTTGTTCTATTTGAAGGTTATTTTTTATACAAGAAATCGGACGTAAATAAGAATAAATAGCAAAGAATAAGCACAAAATTTTTTACATTTGGTCTCCTTTGATTGCTTGGAATTCCCAAGATCTTCAATTTTTGTTGTAGATGTCTTCCCACTAACTGAAAACATGAGGATGTTGATGAACAAAAAGAACCATAGAAGTAGTGTTCTGGTCATATTTTGAATTTGTTTAGAAGTTAATAGAGGTGGTAAGTGATTGGCAGAGAGAGTAAAGTTTGCTTTGGGCGAGGCATTTGAATTAGTAGAAACTTTATTATATATATATAAAGATTTTCTTACTGTTTAAGACCAATTAATTCTAAAGAGTAAAGATGCTTTCTAGCAGTGTTAGAATTGCTACTATGCTTGATGCCCTATAACGGGAATATATGTTTTTACGTGCACATGCTTGCTTTGATTAATCTATTACTTTGGCAAAAGTACTGTCTTCTCTGACCTTAATCCAGCTAGCATGGTTTCTTTTAAAAGGGAACATAGCATGATGACAGAAAGTAAACGAACATAGACATTGTCAGGTTAAAAAAGAAAAAAGAACATATTCTCGTAATCGAAATATGAAATGAACATTTTTCTTATGATGAAAGAGAAAGAACATATTCTTTATATATTCCCATAGATTGAACAGATGGCAAGGAATTGCATTCCTTTTTTCATGGATATGATTTGCTACGATCGATGATGGGTCCCTGAATTTTGGTAACACTCCGGTTTGCTGAAATATATTAATTAGCGCCACATAAAAAAATAATTTGGATAAAATTCTCTATAAAAATTAATAAGAGAAAAATAAAATTAGACGATGAAATAAAGTAAACTTACACATAAACTTATTTGTGAATGTTTTCTCGTATTATGTCTTCCTAACATTTATTTTTAACTTAGTTTTTACTTATAAAAGTATTTTTTTTTAAATTTCTCCTATAAATACTTAGAGAAAAATTTATTCCAACAAAGTTTGAATTGCTAAATTGTAATTTGCACTTTTCAGCGATTATCAATTATCACAACACCAAAAATAATTTTTTGTGACAATTTTTATGTTATTTAGCGATCATACAAATGACCATTAATATCTTTACCGGCAATTAGATTATGGCCGTTGTATTTGGGGTCGATAAAACTATTAGTGGCATTTAAAGTGATTGCTGGTAAAGACCTTTTAAATGGTCGGGAAAAATAAAATTTTTTAATGACAATTCTAGTGACAATTTTAATGGCCACTAAAAGTAATTTCATTGAATAATAGATTCTCATATATGTAAACAAAAATTGTATAGAAATACAATTGAATTTCATTAGATAAAATAATTTATTTTGATAGTGTATTGATACTCAATTAGTTAAATTCAATTAAATAAAGTTATTTTTAGTCCATGCATTGAAATTGATGAGGGAATCAAATTCAATTTTTCATCCATTGATTTTTTTTATTTATAAAAAAACTACTTTCTTTACTAATATTCTCATCCACCATTTCTCATAAAAATAATGAGAATAATAAATTTTTTATATGAGTACTCCATATTTGCAATAACACCAAATACCATTTATTATAGTAATGCAAAATTTATGAGTTTATCATGTCCTTGAGATACCCAAGAAACCATTGAAAAGACAAAATGAATAGTCAATGATGTCATGATCCAAAGAAATTACATAATTTCATTTCTAAGATAATCATATCCCCAAAGAAAGCAAGGTCTCTAATGATTTAGAGCTATTTGCTAAAATGTCTAAAAGGTATTCATCAATTGCAATTGAATCCTGCAAAGCACAAAATAAACAAATGTCCTCCTTCAATGCAAGTTCATCAATTTCCTGTTAACAATATAACATTTAATGTACTATCAAATCAAATGCAGTATTAAAACAAAGGAATAACCTGTGCATAAGAAATGGATTAGGCTCAATACCACGTTATACTTTGTTGAATTCTTATTTAAAGAAAGGTACAAACATTCAGCCAATAAAAATAAATATAGCTCTGTTACGTTCATTGCCTAATGTTCATTATGGTGATTAAATTATGGATCAGTATCATAAAGTATAAGTGGGGGAAAAGTGATTCTAGACATGTGGTTCGGTTCGGTTTGGCACGTCATGATAAAATGGAATAAACCTTTTTGAGAATGAAATTTTAAAACAGAAGTCAAATCTCAATTTCTTTTGGTACCATGTATGAACTTACACTAGTGGAAAATTAGTATATCAAGTCACTTATTTTACGTCGGACATACAAACACCCGACGTAATAAAAATGTGGTGGCATGTTTCGTAATTTTAGTTAAATTATTTACATCGGACCTCCTAGGATCCGACGTAAATTTTAACATCTACGTCGGCTATGCATTGTGTCCGACGTAGATGTTAAAATTTACGTCGAACCCTACTAGGGCCGATGTAAATAACCCACAGGACCGCCCGTTAAAAGAAGGTTTACATAGCTAGAGATTTCAAAAACTTCCTTCTCCTGCGCGTTGTGCAATGGAGGCCACACGCGAGAAATCCTTCCACCTCCTCCTCAAATTGTGGCTGCCCTCATAATCGGAGCCACTCCCCCGACGACCTCGTCCACCTTCCTCCACACCATGCGCCGTGAGTGATCCAGCATCAACACCCTTCGCCTCGACAAGTTCTACCTCCTCCGGAGCTTAGGAAGGTTGGGAAAGAGGTTGATTCGTGTGATGATGTTCTTCTTCTTCGAATGGTTGCGTTGGTCATGGGTTTTTCTAGGAGGTTCTATGAGGTGGCATTTTCTGCTGAGTGTCTTCACGGGAATAGGAAGGTGATGTTTGCGTTGCATTCTGAGTTTTTGAAGCTGGAGAAGGAAGTGGCCAAGTCCGGGTTTGGAGAACCCACTCCTGGTTTTATCAAGCAGAACGGGTCGTTCTGCTTGGAGAACGACCCGTTCTCCATGCAAAACAGGCCGTTCTGCTTGGACAACGGGCCGTTCTCCAACCAGAACGGCCCGTTCTGCTTGTAGTCGTTTTTATTTTTTTTTTTATAAATTTTTTTACAACTTTTTATGTCGGACCTTGGCATATCCGACGTAAATTTATGTTGGACCTTGGCATATCCGACGTAAATTTACGTCAATTTTTTAGACCGACGTAAATTTACGTCTCCCGCTTCGACGTCGGAGGTTTTTTCAACGTAGAATGTATATTCTGTACTAGTGTTAATAGAACAAGAAAAGATATATTACAGTAGAATGAAATTAAATACGCTAAATAAAACTTATCATTCTATTGTTTCAATAATTTTATCATAAAATTAAACAAACTAATTCTACCACGCAAGTCTTAAATTTAAAGGAAAAACTATGAAATGAAATTAAATAATACAATGTCTAATAAATAATCACCATTCATGGATAAATTGGCAATTGCCTTTACTGCTAGTATGCGAACAGCTTCATCATTATCTTTTCTAGTAAGCTTGAGCAAGGAAGTGAGGTCATCAGCTTAAACCATATTGTTTTTGTTAACCTCTACATATTATAATAAATCAAATTACTATACAAAAAAAAATTAAATACTTTAAAGAGAACTAGAAAGATTGTATTCTAAGTCGGTTATTTTATCATATCTACATCGGTTTTAAAACCGACTTAGATAAGGCTGTTGTAGATGAGTGAACATATCTAAGTCGGTTACGTAAAAACCGACTTAGATGTATAAGTATATCTAAGTCGGTTTTAAGAACTGACTTAGATGTATTTATACATTTAAGTCAGTTTTTACAAAACTGACTATACATCTAAGTCGATTTTTGTTAAAACTGACTTAGATGTATATATACACATCTAAGTCGGTTTTGTATTAAAACCGACTTAGATGTGCATATATACATCTAAGTCGGTTTTTTCTTAGAACCGTTGTAGATTTTATTTTTTTTAACCTCATTTTTAAAATAAAACTGATTCAATTATAAATAACCTGCAAAAGTTGATTCAATTATCCAATGTAAGAGAAACAACAGAGACCAATTTGGGATCGTTATCATTATAAAAATGGCTCAATTACATCATTATATAATATATATAATACTAAAGAAACAATATACTTGGAAACCAAGAGAGGCTATACTTGGAAACCCTAAACAATATATAAAGAAGAGTTTTTCTCTTACAAGGAGAAGAGAAGATCAAAAAAATTAGGTCACAAGACATGGCATTGGGCAGCCTAATACTGAAACCACATTCACCTATTTCTAAATTTTTCTAAAAAAAAATTTCCCCAATGAATCCGAATGTCTTCCAATTTGGTTTCCCCCAATGGTGTAGAATCTTCAAAAAGCTGCAACATGTATACATCATATATTAGTTACATCATAAAAAGCATTAAAAGAAATTAACAATATTTTTAAATGTACCTCACTCCAACTATTTGTTACTCCCCCTTCAATTATTTCTGACATCCAATTCATGACATAGTATCCACATTCATAATGTCCTTGTTTTAGAACTTCCCATTCAAATCTGTTTGATTTCGTTGAGCAAATTCCAAAAATTGTTCAACCCCATTTTGATACTCATTGGTGATTCTTTTAGAATTCATCCAACTACGATCCATTCTACATCACAAATGCATGATATAGTTAATATGCAACAACTAACATTTATTTAACATGCCAAGATCAATTCCTAAAATACACCTTGCTCAATAAAGAAATTTTTTGATTAGGAATCATTTTAGGACAGAGCATATAACAAATATCCATTTTCGATCCATAACTTTTTGATCTATCATGTTATTCATTGATTTATAGTTAAAAATTAAAAACACAAAAAGCATATATGTCCAAGAAGAAAATCCAATAGATTTCATAAAATTAATTAATATTAACATCCATAACTCTTCATATCAGAATTTTTTTTTTCGTGGAGAAAAGATAGACACTAGAAAATGGGGGTTGAATAATGTATATCAAAAACTCACATTTTCAAGTACATGAATTAGTATCTATAATAGACAAAAGGTCAGTAAGAGTAATCAATGAACACAAAGTGTTTTTATATTGGCTCACCTCAACCATTGAGGCTACGTCTAATTCTTAATCCAATCATATTAAGTTCCACTAACTTTCAACAAAATTATAAGTATTATTTTACCAAGCCACTTATGGCTCAAACAAGATTTCTTTGACTGGCTTCTTCAAGTCACTAAGTATTCTTTTACAGACAAGCCTCTCTGGGCTCAATCCCAAGTATCCTTTTATAGTCAAGCCTGTCCAAGTTGTACCCTATAACAATGGTTATGGAGGTATTACAAGGTTGCAGTTGTCATCTCTTTTAGACGTGATTACAACAAATTATTTAAGTACAAGAAAACTCTTGAAGGGAGGGAAATGGTTGTGCTGATAGTTTAGCTAGGTTTGGTCTTAGACACCCAGGGTCTTACTGGTGGACTTTTATTCCATCTTGTATTATGACTTCTTATTTTAGGGACAAGGGTGGTCTTTCACACTATAGATTCTCATAGGATGAGACGGGTCTAACATTTGTACTTGTTGTAGATGATTGGTGTGGATTGAGGTGATAACCTAGTTAGGATCTCTTTTTTACATAGTGATGCCTTAGCATATCTATCTTTTTCAGAAAAAGAAAACTCTTGAAGAAGATATTCTAAGAGATTGTATTATGTCACAATTTTTCTATATGTACATTTCTTTTCTCTATTATGTTTTTTATCTTCTCTTGAGTTCTAGAGTTTCTTATATAGTAGCTTTGAAAGAGATGACGATTCCAACTTCTTGAGTCTAATTTGTTAAGTCAGACGAAGACAAAGCAATTCTAAGTGAGGTTTTGAATATAACAAATATAATACATACTGTTATTTCTAACAAGTGTGTCAGTGTTTCAGAAAAGCATAAGTACAGGCAAGATGAAAAATAAAACAAGAACCAAACAAAAAAGGATGAACTAAACAGCAAAGAAAGCCAAATGATCAACTCAGATGAAGAATAGTCAAAACAAGACACATCATAAGAATCAGACAGAGTATAATATGGGCACCAGACGATTGTAAGTCCAATATCAGATGAAAGCATGTCAAGGACAACCTCAAGTGAAACATAAGGAATTAGACGAAGCATGAGACAAAAGATCAAAGAAAGTCAAAGCACTAAACTCAGATGCTTAGACGTAGGATAAGATTGAGATGCATAGGACCAACATACGCAAACGAAAATTGCCACGCAAGTAATTAAAGAATCAAGTCTTAAAGGAAAAATCAAGGCATCATCTACAATCACTTAAATGCTCTCAATGTAAACGCGTGATCTAAGAGAAGAGAAAAAAAAGAAGAAAAGCATGCATGTGTCAGAAAAAGTACATCACTTTATCAATTAAGAATAACACTTTACAGCTATGTGACAGGAAAAGGACAAAAAAAAGGTTCCTAGGTCTCTGCTAAATTTAGACACACCTGCTAACAAGGCAAAGACATGCAATGTCTATTACAGGAATCAACAGTTAATGCCTTGGTGTTGTTCTATAGTATGTTTTAATCTTTGTGAGTATATTGATCCTTAGGCTTAGTGACTACAACATCACCTTGTGTTATGATCCTGGATAGGGGTATTGGGTGGACTTAATGAACATTTCCATTCGGTCCTTCCAGTGTGGTAGTCTTCTCCATTGAAGGCTGGAAGCCTTGTAAGAGAAGCTCATTTTGGTAGATATAGTCTTTCACTACTTGCATTCTTGATCTTTATTCCTTTAGCACAATTAGATGATCAACCCTGTCAAAGGCTGAACTCTAATACTAAATTGTGGAGAAAAGATAGACACTAGAAAATGGGGGTTGAATAATGTATATCAAAAACTCACATTTTCAAGTACATGAATTAGTATCTATAATAGACAAAAGGTCAGTAAGAGTAATCAATGAACACAAAGTGTTTTTATATTGGCTCACCTCAACCATTGAGGCTACGTCTAATTCTTAATCCAATCATATTAAGTTCCACTAACTTTCAACAAAATTATAAGTATTATTTTACCAAGCCACTTATGGCTCAAACAAGATTTCTTTGACTGGCTTCTTCAAGTCACTAAGTATTCTTTTACAGACAAGCCTCTCTGGGCTCAATCCCAAGTATCCTTTTATAGTCAAGCCTGTCCAAGTTGTACCCTATAACAATGGTTATGGAGGTATTACAAGGTTGCAGTTGTCATCTCTTTTAGACGTGATTACAACAAATTATTTAAGTACAAGAAAACTCTTGAAGGGAGGGAAATGGTTGTGCTGATAGTTTAGCTAGGTTTGGTCTTAGACACCCAGGGTCTTACTGGTGGACTTTTATTCCATCTTGTATTATGACTTCTTATTTTAGGGACAAGGGTGGTCTTTCACACTATAGATTCTCATAGGATGAGACGGGTCTAACATTTGTACTTGTTGTAGATGATTGGTGTGGATTGAGGTGATAACCTAGTTAGGATCTCTTTTTTACATAGTGATGCCTTAGCATATCTATCTTTTTCAGAAAAAGAAAACTCTTGAAGAAGATATTCTAAGAGATTGTATTATGTCACAATTTTTCTATATGTACATTTCTTTTCTCTATTATGTTTTTTATCTTCTCTTGAGTTCTAGAGTTTCTTATATAGTAGCTTTGAAAGAGATGACGATTCCAACTTCTTGAGTCTAATTTGTTAAGTCAGACGAAGACAAAGCAATTCTAAGTGAGGTTTTGAATATAACAAATATAATACATACTGTTATTTCTAACAAGTGTGTCAGTGTTTCAGAAAAGCATAAGTACAGGCAAGATGAAAAATAAAACAAGAACCAAACAAAAAAGGATGAACTAAACAGCAAAGAAAGCCAAATGATCAACTCAGATGAAGAATAGTCAAAACAAGACACATCATAAGAATCAGACAGAGTATAATATGGGCACCAGACGATTGTAAGTCCAATATCAGATGAAAGCATGTCAAGGACAACCTCAAGTGAAACATAAGGAATTAGACGAAGCATGAGACAAAAGATCAAAGAAAGTCAAAGCACTAAACTCAGATGCTTAGACGTAGGATAAGATTGAGATGCATACCCTAGCCTCTTCAGTCTTTACAATGTGTTGGCACTCACTAAGGTTTTTCCATAATTGACATTTCAAGAACCTTAGTCTACGGAGATACCAATACAATATTACATTGTACATATGACTATCAATGCTCATCTCTGAACTCTCCGTCTCGTGGGCTTAATATCATTTCTTCGTTGCTTCTTGCCCCCTTTTTCCGATTTTATGTTATTGTGATGGAGGAAGCCCATGGGCCAAGGGCCCAACTACTAGGGCTATGGCAAAGAAGATGCATGAAGAGTGGGCCCAAGCCCAAGAAAAGCCCATCTCTTTGTTTTTTTGGGCCTTGACTCAAGCCCAAGTAGAGTAGGGTTAGTGTAGCATTGGGCCTTAATGCCTTGTATTTCTTTTTGGGCCTTGTATTTTCGGCCATGTAGCTTAGGATTTGCATTTAGAGGCCATTTGAATTTAGGGTTATTTAGGTTACATGTGAAGTTGCATTAGCATGTAATTAGAATCACATTTGGTGTGCATTTGAAACGCAAGGTTCTCTTTGCAGTGGCTAAGGTTCTCCATTTTCTCCGACGGCTGCACAGAGACGATGGCAGAATCGAGCGATTGGGGCGGAGGAAGTGAGCGGAAGGGTCAACGTCCTGCAAGAGAAAGACAAAGAGAAAAGGAGAGTTAGTCAGTGAGTTAGGGAAATAGAGAATAGGAGGTTAAGGGCAATCATAGTTACGAGAGAGAATGTTGAAAGAAGGGAGGTTAAGTGGCCGGCGCAGGAGTGGAGGGCGGAGGAGGTGGAGGCCAGAGACAATGTGGAGGGCGCAAGAGTGGCTCGCATGAATTGAGAGAGAACGCGCGGGAGGTTATTTTTGGGTCTCCATCTAAGTCAGTTTAACATAGAAACTGATGTAGATTACTTTAACATCTAAGTCAGTTTTACTATAAACCGTCGTAGATATATTTGTGTAGGCTATTCTACAACGGGTATTGACAAAATCGTCATAGATTACATTCCTTTTATTTACAAAAATGCCACCGCATCTTATTTTACATCGTTTTTTAATGAACCGACTTAGATTGAGCGACTTAGATTACTCTTTTTGTAGTAGTTAAGCAACGAGATTCATTTTATTTTTTCCTTGTAAGTGTTTGTTTAGAAGTTAATCCAAATTGAGGCTTAGTCTTGTTTCTGGTCCTTGATTACAAGGTAGTATTTGGATCATGAGATGAATATACTACTTGTTTAATAATACAATAAGAAAAGCACAAAGTTATGAAATTTTGTTTAGGAACTGGGAAGTGAAATTAATTGGTTTGGTCAGTTTCTTGAAAAATCCAATCTAGAAACAACACTAGTCACAGGGTAGCATCCAGAAGGCATAGAGGAATGAAAAATATGGGTGTATTTCTATTTTTCATTCTTTCTTCTATGATCCCTTTTTGTTTTGAAGCTTATGCTAAATACAATAGAATCTATTTTTGCTCTTAAATATTAGTTTTCCTAACTTCCTATTGTCTCCCTATTCACTCAAATACAAAAAGAACAAAAATACAAAGCTGTCACATGGAACAGAACACATTCCCAGCAGGAACAATAGAATGGTCACTCCAAGCAAATGTCATGGATCATAACACATACAAAATATTACCTAGATAACCAAGGAGTAAGATGGTGGCATCTGAAGTTTTAGGTTTCCTTTAACGAAAGTGTAGTGAACCTATAGATAAAGAGGGAAAAAGTTAACTTGTTACAAAAACAAGGGCACCTGTATCCAAAC